CCGCCAACAACAGATCCATCATATATCTATTTTTACTATATATCGGCCATGTCCATGTATTATATCTGTCTAAAACGCCGCCAACAACGGAACCATCATCTATATATTATAACTATATATCGACCATGTCCATGTATTACATCTGTCTAAAACGCCGCCAACAACAGATCCATCATATATCTATTTTTACTATATATCGGCCATGTCCATGTATTATATCTGTCTAAAACGCCGCCAACAACAGATCCATCATATATCTATTTTTACTATATATCGGCCATGTCCATGTATTATATCTGTCTAAAACGCCGCCGAAACGGGACCATCATCTATATATTATAACTATATATCGACCATGTCCATGTATTATATCTGTCTAAAACGCCGCCAACAACAGAACCATCATCTATATATTATGTCTATATATCAGCCATGTACAAGTATTATGTCTGTCTAAAACGCCGCCAACAACAGAACCATCATCTATATATTATGTCTATATATCGGCCATGTACAAGTATTATATCTGTCTAAAACGCCACTAACAACACAACCATCATCTATCTATTATTACTATATATCGGCCATGTCCATATATTATATCTGTCTAAAACGCCGCCAACAACAGAACCATCATTTATCTATTATTACTATATATCGGCCACGTCCATGCATTATATCTGTTCAAAACGCCCCCAACAACAGAACCATCATATATCTATTATTACTATATATCGGCCATGTTCATACATTATATCTGTCAAAAACGCCGCCAACAACAGAACCATCACCTATCTATTATTACTATATATCGGCCACTTCCATGTATTATAGCTGTCTAAAACGCCGCCAACAACGGAACCATCATCTATATATTATGTCTATATATCGGCCATGTACAAGTATTATATCTGTCTAAAACGCCGCCAACAACAGAACCATCATCTATCTATTAGTACTATATATCGGCCACGTCCACGTATTATATTTTCTAAAACGCCGCCAACAACAGAACCATCATATATCTATTATTACTATATATCGGCCATGTCCATGTATTATATCTGTCTAAAACGCTGCCAACAACAGAACCATTATATATCTAATATTACTATATATCGGCCACGTCCATGCATTATATCTGTCTAAAACTCCCCCAACAACAGAACCATCATATATCTATTATTACTATATATCAGCCATGTCCATATATTATATGTCTAAAATGCCGCCAACAACAGAACCATCATCTATCTATTATTACTATATAATCGGCCAGTTCCATGTCTTATATTGTCTAAAACGCCGCCAACAACAGAACCATCATATAACTATTATTACCATATATCGGCCACGTCCATGTATTATATTGTCTAAAACGCTGCCAACAACAGAACCATCATCTATCTATTGTTACTTTATTTCGGCCACGTCCATGTATTATATTGTCTAAAACGCCGCCAACAACAGAACCATCATCTATATATTACTATATATCGGCATCGTCCATGTATTATATCTGTCTAAACCGCCGCAAACAACAGAACCATAATCTAAATATTACGTCTATACATCGGCCATGTCCATGTATTATAGCTGTCTAAAACGCCGCCAACAACGGAACCATCATCTATATATTATAACTATATATCGACCATGTCCATGTATTACATCTGTCTAAAACGCCGCCAACAACAGATCCATCATATATCTATTTTTACTATATATCGGCCATGTCCATGTATTATGTCTGTCTAAAACGCCGCCAACAACAGAACCATCATCTATATATTATGTCTATATATCGGCCATGTACAAGTATTATATCTGTCTAAAACGCCACTAACAACACAACCATCATCTATCTATTATTACTATATATCGGCCATGTCCATGTATTATATCTGTCTAAAACGCCGCCAACAACAGAACCATTATATATCTATTATTACTATATATCGGCCACGTCCATGCATTATATCTGTTCAAAACGCCCCCAACAACAGAACCATCATATATCTATTATTACTATATATCGGCCATGTTCATACATTATATCTGTCAAAAACGCCGCCAACAACAGAACCATCACCTATCTATTATTACTATATATCGGCCACTTCCATGTATTATAGCTGTCTAAAACGCCGCCAACAACGGAACCATCATCTATATATTATGTCTATATATCGGCCATGTACAAGTATTATATCTGTCTAAAACGCCGCCAACAACAGAACCATCATCTATCTATTAGTACTATATATCGGCCACGTCCATGTATTATATTGTCTAAAACGCCGCCAACAACATAACCATCATCTATCTATTATTACTATATTTCGGCCACTTTCATGTATTATATTGTCTAAAACGCCGCCAACAACAGAACCATCATATATCTAATATTACTATATATCGGCCATATCCATGTATTATATCTGTCTAAAACGCCGCCAACAACAGAACCATCATCTTTCTATTATTACTATATATCGGCCATGTCCATGTATCATATCTGTCTAAAACGCCGCCCATCATCTGTCTATTATTACTATATTTCAGCATCCTCCATGTATTATATGTCTAAAACGCCGCCAACAACAGAACCATTATCTGTCTAAAACGCCGCCAACAACAGATCCATCATATATCTATTATTACTATATATTGGCCATGTCATGTATTGTCTGTCTAAAACGCCGCCAACAACAGAACCATCATATATCCATTATTACTATATATCGGCCATGTCCATGTATTAAATTGTCTAAAACGCCGCCAACAACGGAACCATCATATATATTACTATATATCGGCCATGTCCATGTATTAAATCTGTCTAAAACGCCGCTAACAACAGAACCATCATCTATCTATTATTACTATATATCGGCTACTTCCATGTATTATATTGTCTAAAACGCCGCCAACAATAAAACCATCATATATCTATTATTACTATATATCGGCCACGTCCATGTATTATATTGTCTAAAACGCCGCCAACTAACAGAACCATCATCTATATATATGTCTATATATCGGCCATGTCCATGTATTATAGCTTTCGTGACTGCAGGAATTCATATTCTTTGGTTCTTTCGGTAAAGTCATGTAGGTAGAAAAAATATAATAGATCACGACGTTTCGATCGCAACACAAGCGACCATCTTCAGATGTGAAACAAACACAGGACTGCTGACGTAGGAGAAAGAGCCGCTGCAACAAGAGGTTATATAGGATATTGGTGGGCCCAACCCACTGATAAGTGGGTGGAGCTAGAGAAGGAATTTGCACATAAATGTAAATGTGGGAGATTAGCATGTCAACGTGAGACGGCCCAATGTCAGAGAGCCGGGCAACAGGAACAAAAACCCCTAAGAGCAAGAGGTACACATGATGTGAGACACACAGAGAGTCGGAATAACAGCTGACATAGGCTGGTAGGAGGGAAACATCACAGTCAGTTAAGAATTTACTTGGTTAATAACGTTCTTCCAATGATTGCTCAGTTTGTACCCATCTTCTCGGTTGAAGTTGTCTGTGTTTATATATCTGGATGGCTTCATGAGCAAATCTCTGAAGGTTGCCGGTAGGTTTGCAGAGTAACTCCGTCTTGGAAAAATCAATTTCGTGTGAGCCCACAGCGTTAAAACAATGATCGGCAATGGCAGAGGTATTGGTCCTACCGTGTTTCAGATCTGCCTTGTGTTCACGAACACAGTCCGAGACATGTCATTTCGTTTCCCCAATGTAACTGCTGCCGCAACCATAACTCCGTTTCTAGACAACAGGGTATTGCATGTCAGGAATCACATCCTTTACAGATGGGATTAAATCACACACACAAACTGACACACACTGACACACACAGAGGATTCATAATGGTTGTCTCTCTCTCTCTCAGGGGATTCATAATAGCTCTCTCTCTCTCAGGGGATTCATAATAGCGCTCTCTCTCTTTCTCAGTGGATTCATAATGGCTGTGTCTCTCTGGGAATTCGCAATGGTTAAGACGGAGACATCGAGATGCTGGGTTTCCAGCTCTGGGTCCATGTGTATCAGCATCTCCTTTGGCCGCGCGTCTCTTCAAGGAGGGTCCTGGCGGCATGGCCTCGCAGGGACAATCAGAACACCCAAGGCAACGAAATCAACAGGACGTAGCAAACAAAGACAGCCCGGTCAAGACAGGGAAACGTTTTAATGTTTGCATTCACGCTCTCGAGCATCCCGGCGGAAGCGGCGAGAAGAAGCGATTCACGGACCGCCCTTAAAAGCTGGGGGCTATGATCAAGCGCTTGGAGCCAACGGAGAAAAACAAAAAAACCGGGGGTCCAAATTGGTCAACGGTGGCTTCCCCTAATACAGGTTTTGTATTTATTTTGGTGTTAGATCCCTTATCAGTGACTACACTCAGACCTGTCAACCCCTTATCAGTGACTACACTCAGACCTGTCAACCCCCTATCAATGCCTACACCCAGACCTAACAATCTCTAATCAATGGCTACACCCAGACCTGTCAACCCCTTATCAGTGCCTACACCCAGACCTGTCAATCTCTAATCAATGCCTACACCCAGACCTGTCAATCTCTAATCAATGCCTACACCCAGACCTGTCAACCCCTTATCAGTGCCTACACCCAGACCTGTAAATCTCTAATCAATGCCTACACCCAGACCTGTCAATCTCTAATCAATGCCTACACCCAGACCTGTCAACCCCTTATCAGTGCCTACACCCAGACCTGTCAATCTATAATCAATGCCTACACCCAGACTGTCAATCTCTAATCAATGCCTACACCCAGATCTGTCAATCTCTAATCAATGCCTAAACCCTGACCTGTCAACCCCTTATCAGTGCCTACACCCAGACCTGTCAATCCCTATTCAGTGCCTACACCCAGACCTGTCAACCCCTAATCATACAAACTCCACTCACTCTCACTGTAGAATAGGGGGAGATAGAACAGGGGGGAGATTATACAAATTATCAGACAAGCTACTTCACGTGACTTTCAGCCACGGATTATTCAATGCGCATAACTGTAGTTTGCGGCTACATGAACCAACTGTTCGATCAATAAAACACAGACACAAGACCATGTATTATTAGGCCCACCCTAGACTCACTGGACGTGTGCGACCCACTCGGCCCAAACTCAGTCCGGTGGTCGTCTGGACCTTCATTGGTGTCTACGCCTTGGTAATTGAGACGTTAACTACTTTACCTGATATACAGGAGGTCGTGGTTGTAATTACTGGTAAAAGCATCTCAGTGTCTTGGGGTTCCCTCCCAGTTTCTTGCGTTTCTCTCCCGGCTTCCAGAGGGGCTCTGCGTCGTTCTGCTGGGCTCGCCCCGCATCGCCTCCTTCACCCGCGCGGGCAGCGACTCGAAGAGCTCTTCCTCCACCACCAGCCCCCCGCGCCTCAGCTCCGCGCACTCCCCCAGCTCGGCCGGCAGCTCCGTCAGCCGGTTCCCCACCAGCTCCAACCTGCGCAGCCTCCTTAGCCTCCCCACCAGGCCGCTGAGTTCGCACAGCTCGTTGTTGGCGAGCGCCAGTGTCCGCAATCCCTCGCACCGGAACAACTCATCGGGCAGACGCCGCAGGGCATTGCCCGACAGAAGAAGGGTGCTCAGCTGAGTCAGCAGCCACACGTCGGGCGGCAGGGCAGCGATGGCGTTGCGGCTCAGGTCGAGGACGCGCAGGCCGTGCAGGCGGAGCAGCCCCGCGGGCAGCTCGCCCTCGATGAGGTTCCCGTCGAGGAAGAGCGAGCGCAGGGCCGGCGACCCCGCCCCCGCCGCGAACCGTGGGACGCTCACGAGGGCGTTGTCCGAAAGGCGCAGGACGGCGAGGCGCTCCCAGGCGGCCGCCGGCAGCGACGCGTCATCGCCGTCGCCCAGCGAGCGGAGGCTGTTGCGGGACAGGTCGAGGTCGCTCAAGCGTCCCAGCGCCAGCAGGGGCCGCGGAAGCTCGGCGGGCTCCAGGCCGCAGCGCGTCAGCCGCAGCGTCTCCAAGCCGCGCAGCTTGCTCAGGGGCGCCGGCGACTCGAGGCGCACGCCGAGGGCGTGCGCCGCGCGCAGGCCGCCGCCAGCGACGGCGGCCAGGCCGGGCGGGAGGCGGGCGACGCTTGTCGTCAGGCGCAGGCCCCGCAGGCGCCTGAGGCCGCCCAGCGGCTTAAGGAGCGCGGGCGTCAGGGGCCCCTCCAGGGACAGCTCCTCCAGGTGGCGCATTTCACGCAGCCAGCCCGGGACCTCCGCCTTGACCGCAAACTTCACCTGCAAGAGGGCGCGGGGGGGGGCGGACGCCGCGAACGGCAACGGTGAATATCGGTCCCCGACACTGCGACTTAAATACATTTGGTGGGGGAGGTGACTTTTTGGTGATGTCACGGCCGGGTCAGTGGAGCCGAATGGACCGCTCCGACCGACCCACCCTCGCACCCGCCCGCCCATCCACCCACCCACGCACCTCCAACTGGTGCAGCTCCTCACTGAGGAAGGCGAGTGCGCGATTGTCGACGCTCACGGTGCAGTTCAGCAGCCGGAGTTGGTGCAGGTTCACCAACTGCACCACCGCCGCCCCCAGCGTCACCCCGTGCATCGAGTCCAGCGTCAGCACCTTCGGTGGGGGATTGGGTATGAGGGTGAGTGAGTTGGTGGGTGAGTGGGTGAGTGGGTGTGTGGGTCAGTGGGTATGTGGGTGAGTTGGTTGGGCGAGTGGGTGAGTTGGTAGACGAGTGGATGTGTGGGTGAGTGAGTTGGTGGGTGAGTGGGTGTGTGAGTTGGTGGGTGTATGGGTGAGTGGATGGGTGTGTGGGTGAGTGGGTTAGTGAGTGAGTGGGTGTGTGGGTGGGTGTGTGTGTGGGTGGGTGTGTTGGCGAGTGAGTGGGTGAGTGAGCAAGTGGGTGGGTGTGTGCGCGAGTGGTTGGGTGGGTGTGTGGGTGAGTTGGTGGGTAAGTGGGTGTCTGGATGAGTGGGTGGGTGTGTGGGTGAGTTGGTGGGTCAGTGGGTGTGTGAGTTGGTGGGTGTATGGGTGAGTGGGTGGGTGTGTGGGTGAGTGGGTTGGTGAGTGAGTGAGTGGGTGTGTGGGTGGGTGTGTGCATGGGTGGGTGTGTTGGCAAGCGAGTGGGTGAGTGAGCAAGTGGGTGGGTGTGTGCGAGAGTGGTTGGGTGGGTGTGTGGGCGAGTTGGTGGGTAAGTGGGTGTCTAGGTGAGTGAATTGGTGGGTGAGTGAGCAGGTGGGTGGGTGGGTGGGTGCATAGGTGTGTCCACGGGCACCTGTATCTGAGTGAGGCGGTATGTGTCCACTGGCACCGCTGCCAGCTTGCAGAGGCGTAGCTCGCTCTCGCCCTGCGCGTTGATCTCCAGTAGCCCCGTCAGATGCGACAGGGTCCACGCTTGATCCACGTTGACCTGCCTCAGCTTATTTTCGCTCACCTGCAGCAGCAGCAACAGCACCAGCAGCCAAGCGTGGATGGATTTTATTTGTTTCAGCAGCGAGGGCCCAATGAGCCGTACCGCCCCATGTTATACATATGTAGTGAGCAGCTTCCGAGACACATCGCGTAGAGGCCTTCTTATTTATTCTCACACTGGACGATACGTATATGTAAACATCTCTACGTAGCTACACAACCCCATCGTCGGCGTCCAACTACACAGTTACTTGACTTAGCGCAGCCAGGACTCAGGACCCCCTCATGTACACCCCGGTGCGGCCAAGCCCCGCCTCCGGCCACGTCCCCTTCCAGAATCTTCAAGCAGGTTCCCGGAGCTTGCGGTCTGACTCAGCCTTTGACCTTTACTACCGATACGCCCCCCCCCTTATAATTAGTCATTACATAACTTGCCCATAACTATAATTACCCCTCCAGGCCGACAGGTGGCACCCTGTCATTACACATAGACTAACACGGCCCATAGACTCAGACAGAGACCCAAAGACTCAACATCCCCCCGTATAGCCTCGATGGACTGTTGGGGCAAGTGCTGTTAGCGAGCACCGATGCAGGCCAGGCCAGAACGGCACACGAGGGGGTGGGTGGCCAGCACCACGCTCACCACACAGAGACCCACAGTTTGTTGTCCTAACCCCGCATCTCAGATCAGCGCGGTCGGCTCCGTCCAGTGTACGGCGTGCGTGCAGCGCACAGCGTGCTCTGCGAGCGGCTTCTCCTCACCTCGGACAGGAAGACGGAGAACTTGGATGCGTAGCAGGGGTCGTACTTGTCCACTAGGTGCAGGAGGAAGGCGAAGTCGTTGCGCACATCCGGAATGTCGTCCACCCCCGTCTCCTGGCGCGTCTCCGCGAAGCTGTACTCCTTGAGCCTGCAGTGTCAGCGCCCCCCCCACCCCCCAGCACAGAGAACTCAGTGCCCGTCGACCCTTGTCCCGACGCGGAAGATCTCCCACGAAGCCAATAGTAAAACGTTACATTTAGATCTTTGTTGCAGTGTCGCCGTCCGCGCTAACCGCGTCTCCACGATCGCCGAAAAGCCCGTAGGCCAAAGCCAGAAGGCTGCCAGACGGCGATCCGGTGCCACACAACCGCTCTGCGGCAGCACCGCCGCCCCCCCCCCCTCTCACCTGCAGGTCACCACCCAGTAGACGACGTAGGCACAGGTGAGCGCGTAAACACACATCGTGGTCGCGTAGGCCATCCACATCATGCGGAAGATGCGCCACAGCCCGTGGACGCAGTAGAAGTTCCCGTAGCCCGTGATGTACTCGCCTTCTACGCAGTGGATGTGGTAGCGCATATTGGGGCAGGCGTAGCCGGTGTACGCGAGCACCACCAGCGCCTGCAGCAAGCGGGCCGCCGTCTGCAACACGTATATCCTGTGGAGCCCACCGCCCGCCTCCGTGTGAGCGCGGAGTTTCTTCACCTTCTCGAAGAGAGCCTTAGCCTGCTCGCCCTCCTTCTTGTCCAGGATGCGATCATCCGATGGCGTCCGCCGGTCCTCGCTCTGCCCCGGGGGGGACCGGTCGGGTGGTGCGGCCTCGCCGGGGTCGACAAACTGGACGGAGGGCCGGGGCGGTCCCGGTGGAGACTCAGGAGGCAGCTTCTCCATGGGGATTTCGCCGGATCTCGGGTCGCTGCGTACGTGGGATTGCGTGGACATCGGGCAACGCGTCATGACGCAGAGACGCACAGAGACCCATAGAGACTCACAGAGACCCTTAGAGACTCAGAGACCCATAGAGACTCACAGAGACCCGCAGAGACCCACAGAGACCCATAGAGACTCACAGAGACCCATAGAGACTCAGAGACCCATAGAGACTCACTGAGACCCATAGAGACTCACAGAGACCCATGGAGACTCACAGAGATCCTTAGAGACTCAGAGAGCCATAGAGACTCACACAGACCCACAGAGACCCACAGAGACCCATAGAAACCCACAGAGACCCATAGAGACTCACAGATACCCGCAGAGACCCATCGAAACTCACAGAGACCCGTAGAGACCCACAAAGACCCATACAGACTCACAGACACCCACATCATTACGCACATACACACGCACACAAAGATCCCCTGTATAGCCTTAACAGACTGTAGGGGCAAGTGCTGTTAGCGAGCACTTATGAAGGCTGGAATTGTACAAGAGGGGGTGGGTGGCCAGCACCACGCCTGGTCGCCTTTGTCTCCCCAGTGGCGATGTTTACCAGGTACTCATTTGAGACCGAGTCGACCTAGGGGAGGCCCAGAACTGGTTCAGATAATCGTCGCTGGTCTTGGCCGTGAGCGGGAATCGAACCTGGGTCGCCGGGTTCATAGCGCAGGTCGATAACCGCTTCACTACCGCTCCCCACAAAAACAAAACAAAGATCCCCCGTATAGCCTTAACAGACTGTAGGGGCAAGTGCTGTTAGCGAGCACCTATGAAGGCCGGAACGGTATACGAGGGGGTGGGCAGCCAGCACGACGCCCGACCGCCTTTTGTCTCCGCAGTGGCAATGTTTTTATTCACCACACCAGGTACTCATTTGAGGCTGAGTCGACCTAGGGGAGGCCCAGGACCGGTTCAGATAATCGTCACTGGTGTTGGCCGTGAGCGGGAATCGAACCCGGGTCGCCAGGTTCATAGCGCAGCGCGCTAACCGCTACACTATCGCTCCCCACAAGGCAACAAAGTCGCACACACAGACACGCACACAGAGACACACACAGAGACACACACAGAGGCAGACACACACACAGGCAACAAAGACGCACACAGAGACACACACAGGCAGACACGCACACAGAGACACGCACACACAGAGACACACGCACACACAGGCAGACACACACACAGAGGCGCACACAGAGACACACACACACAGACACACGCACACAGAGACACACACACACAGAGACACACACACAGACACACGCACAGAAACACGCACACAGAGACACTCGCACAGAGACTCGCACAGAGACACGCACTCAGAGACACACAGAGACACGCACACAGAGACACACACACACAGAGACACACACACAGACACACGCACAGAAACACGCACACAGAGACACTCGCACAGAGACTCGCACAGAGACACGCACTCAGAGACACACAGAGACACGCACACACAGAGACACACGCACACACAGAGACACGCACAGAAACACGCACACAAAGACACACACACAGACACACACACACACACACAGAGACACACACACAGAGACACAGACACACACACAGAGACACACACACAGAGACACACACACAGAGACAGACACACACACAGAGACACACACACAGACACACACACACAGACACACACAGAGACACACACACACACAGACACACACACACAGACACATACACACACAGACACAACACAAATGTCTCCCCGTGTAGTCTCCCTGACGGGCTGCGTGAGGCTGACAGACACACACAGACACACACACAGACACACACACAGAGACACACATACAGACACACACAGACACACACACAGAGACACACAGACACAGAGACACACACAGAGACACAGACAGAGACACACACAGAGACACAGACACAACACAAATGTCTCCCCGTGTAGTCTCCCTGACGGGCTGCGTGAGGCTTACAGAGACACACACACAGAGACACACCCACACACAGAGACACACCCACACACAGAGACACACACACACACACACAGACACACACAGACACAGAGACAGACACACACACACAGAGACACACACACACAGAGACACACAGACACATACACAGAGACACACATACAGACACAACAACAACAACCGCGATTCGCCACTAAGTGGTGGTGACGTCACCACGACGCTTGTGCCAGGCTATGTGCACCCTGAGGCCACGTGAAGTGTCGAACGCCCGCTGGCAGGAGGTTACGGGGCAGACCCAGGTGCCACGGGTCGACTGACTGAGATGACTGGCTGATGCACCACCTGTGCCCCCTACTGTGCCAACCTGCTGTGCTTTAGCCACCCGGCGCTCCGCTCGCTGTTGTGAGCGTCGCTCCTCCGCCCTCCGTTGTTGTTGGAGGGCGACTGCCTCCAACTGCCCAGTAGCATCCTTCACGAGCCTCCTCCACAGAGGCCGATCTTGACACCGCTGGTACCAGTCATCGGCAAGTCCACTCAGCTCCACGTCCTCCTGTACCACATCACTCCATCTCTTCTCTAGCCCGTGCCGCGCCCGCTTAGCCCCCTCAATCCGGCCAAACAAAAGCTGTTTCGGCATGCGGTGGCCTGGCATGCGGGCTACATGACCCAGCCATCGCAGCCTTGCCTGCCGGAGGAGCTCACCGATGGGACCCTGCCCAGATCTTTCAAGGATTTGTGAGCTCCTCACACAATCCAGTCTGGTTAAACCCAGGATGGATCGTAGGCAGGCCAGCCTAAATGTTTCTAACCGGCGAAGATGTTCCATTAGGGGGGTCCACGTTTCGCAAGCGTAGAGAAGGGAGGGAATGACCGTGGCCGAGAAGACCTGAAGCTTAGTGCGGAGCGACAGACCAGGTAGCTTCCACACAGCGTTACGCAACCGATGAAAAGATATTGCCGCTCGACTGATTCGGAGTGAGACCTCTGCTGTTAAACTGGAGCCAGTCATAAGCACACTGCCCAGGTATGGGAAACTCTCCACTCTCTCCACAACTGCCCCATCACCGATTGGGAATTGTGGGGGTGGAGTGTCCGATGGTACAAAATACCCAGGCAGGTGCTTAGTTTTGGTGGGGCTGATGGTAAGGCCCCACCTCTTAATGGCACGCTCCAGTCTCAGCAGCAGCGTCTCCAACTCCTCCTCTGACTGAGCAGCTATTACCAAGTCATCAGCATACATAACGTGGTTGAGCAATAGGGAGCCATCCCTTGACCGCACCCGGGCATCGATTAGCCTCCCATTATATCTGTACCATATGGAGATTCCCCCGGTACAGCTATTGAAGGCTTCACGAACTACGTGGTCAAAATAGATGTTAAATAATGTGGGAGCCAGAGGACATCCCTGTCGCACCCCAAGGTGTACAGGGAATGGCTCTGACTCCCGGCCACGTAGTTTTACCCGGGCCCGCTCACCATCATGAAGGTCCTTAATGATCGTGAGCAGAGGGTCGGGTACTCCAAAAGCACGAAGAACGACCCAGAGCCCAGGCCTACTGATGGTATCATAGGCCTTGACCAGGTCAATAAAGCAGAGATGTAGGTCTTGTTGGAATTCCCTACACCTCTGCTGTAGCAGACGGACAGAAAATATGGCATCTGTGCAGGACCGCCCTTTCCTGAAACCGCATTGGGGCTCCGCAAGCCTCTCCTCAGCGTGCCTGGCAAGGCGATGCTGAATAATCCTTGCCAGGACCTTTCCCGGCACACTGAGGAGTGAGATGCCCCTGTAGTTGTTACAGTCTGTGCGGTCCCCCTTCTTAAAAAGGGGGACCACCAGGGCATCCTTCCAATCCTGCGGAACCCGTCCAGTGGTCCAGAATGTTGTTATGATGTCATATAGGGCAGTCTGTGCACAAACGCCACCCTCCCTCAGCATTTCGCTTGGGAGATCATCTCTGCCCGCTGCCTTTCCTGGTCTCAGACTCCGGATCGCCTTCAATACTTCCTCAGCAGATGGCACCTCAGCCAGCCACTCACAGGGGGTGACTTCATCCAATATTTGAGGCACCGCAGCCTCAGCAGGGTCATCCTCACTTTGTGCCACGATGTTTTCCTGGCTGAGGGATTTTCCCTCCCCCAGGACCTCACAGAAATGCTCAGTAAATCTGCGAACCTGTTCCTGGGGGTCGGAAATTGGATCACCGTTTTTTCCCCTAATGATGGTAATAGGTGTGGCGCTGCAGGTTACTTTTTTGATGGAGTTAAATAGAGATTTGTGATCACGGGCCACTGAGGCAGACTCCATCTCCTCAGCAACCCGCGACCACCACCCATCCTTGCAGCGCCTCACGGCTCTCCGAACCTCCGAGCGAAGGCTGCGGTAAGCCTCCTCATTCTCTGACGTGGGATTCTGTAGCCGATGACAGTGGGCCTGTCGCTTTTTCTCAACCATCGTGAACAACTCCTCTGTCATCCAGGGTGTCTGGGGAGGTCTGGACCGCGTACCCAAAGCAGCCATTGCAGCTGCATGAGTCACAGTCCTAAACCTCGCCCATTTACCCTCGACATCAGGAGGAGTCGGGGACGATGCCAATCCCAGCCGCAGGCGATGATGAAATTCTCGCTTGCAACTTTCATCAGATAACTGAGACCAGGCCACTTTAGGTTGGAATGGGGTCCTGGGTGTACACCCACCACCGGAGTGGAAGAATGGCAGGCGCATCTTACAGATGACTAGTCGATGGTCAGAGGGCAGATCAGCTCCACGGTAGGTCCTGGTGTCAAGGACATGGGCTCGCATTCGCTGGTCCGTCACTATGTAGTCCAGCAGATGTTCTTGCTTGGACCCGGCATGCATCCATGATGTTGTGTGGATGCGCCGATGCCGGAACAGCGTGTTGGTAATTACAAGCCCATGGGCTGCACAAAAATCTAGCAGCCTCCTACCGTTGTTATTGAGCTGATCTGGCCCATGCCCTCCAATCACTCCAGACCAGGTGCCAGTATCATGACCAACTCGGGCATTGAAGTCACCCAACATGATGACTC